ATTCAATAAGTATACCTCATGTCGATTAGAGGCTTATTTTCGGAGATATAAGCGAAAAACGGAAAAAAAGCAATTATTTTATTTTCTTTTTTTATAAACATTATGACTACAAATACACAAATTTAGGCTTTTATTCCGTGTATTTTTTACTTAATTTTAAACCCATAAAATTCGAGGTAGGCCCGATTTTTGAAAAAAAACCTAATTCGCCCGGACTACTAGACTTATTTTATTCATTATTCAATTCCTCAAAAGTCTTCAAAATTAAGAAATAAAAAATTGTCATTCTGGGAACAATTGTTTATACAAATTTTGACTTTTTTTATGAACAAGTATTTGTAGAATAAGCTTTACAACTCGATTTTTCAGAGCACTATATTTCATTTTTGCAATAAGTTTTTCGTTGTGAAAAAGTTTTTTTTCTGTTCTTCATTAGTATTATTTTTGGTTTTCCATTTAAAAATTAAAGTAAGTAGCAAAAAAATAGTGTATATTGCAATTGAACCCAGATCCACTACAACTGCAGGCTAATTATATTTGAAATCGCATTATATTCGAAAGAAGCGCACCTGCTAGAGCTGTCAGCTTCGAGTCAGCCGATACTTGTAGCGTGCGCGTACTCCCCAAATGCCTTCCCCTCTCTTGCTTAGTAATTGTCCAAAACATGACATAAATTTATTAAATTTTAATAAGCAATAGCATAAAATCGATGTAAATTTTCCCTGGGAACACGATGGTGCAATTATTTTTTGCTACTTGCCGTAGTTTACGAGATATTTGCGAAAAACCTTATTTTTACGGTCTTTTGAACTTTTGACCCCTTGCCTTACCACCTAGGTCAAAAATTTTCGGATTCGGATTCCTGAGGGTCGAAAACATATTTGCGCCCAGGTTTGATCGACAGAGGAAAAAATGGAGGTTCAGCCTTCATTTCAATGGACTAAATAGATACAATAATATTTTATATATTTTTTATGCCTATACATATTATTCTCCAAACGTAATTAGTAGCAAGTTTCTATATATTTTAGTAATTAAGCAGTGTTTTTTAAGTTAATACGACTTGCCAAAGTAAAAAAATAATAATTCAGGTTAGGTATATATTTTTACTGAAAATAGCAGTTAATTTACATTATCGGATTGTTAATGTGAAAATATAAACATTAGACTGTTGACTATTCCATGTTATACGTGTTTTAAGGTCACTTTTGAAGAAGAAATTACATGTAATTTTAAAAATCGTATTTCTGCTTTTATAATGAAGGAATAGTAATTATAAGATCGTTTAAGCTTATTAACTAAAAATTATTGCCTACTTAAAAAAATATTATTGTCCTCGATAATCTATTACTGATTAATAAAATCTTTACTCTCTTTCCTTATAAGATTGTATGTACACAAATTGGAGCCGTTCCTGAAAAATCGGGCGAATATCGGTGCAGCGTAAATTATTAGACTTGAAGCGTTGACCGCTAGAGCAGCACTTGCCGGGGTACCGTTTCGTGACTCACGCTGGGCGATATTTTTTGTACAAAATCCCGTCCTTAATGATAATATAACCTAGGGCAGTATAAAAACCAATAATTGTGTTAAAAATAAGTATTTTTATTTATTTTATTTATTTATTTATTTATTTATTTATTTTTATTGGCCAGGCAAAGATACAAATTTGTACATATGGCAAGTCAAGTACACTAAAAAGAAAAAGAACAGAACAACATACATCGATAGTGACAATAAAAAGCCACAGTTAGCATCATTTACCACTTATAAAATCCTCCACACTATAAAAACCTCCAACTGACAAAAATTCTTTAGTTTTGTTTTTAAATTTTCTATAATTAAGTATACATCTAATTTCTTTAGGTAGAGCATTGTATAAAATTACACAATTATAATATGAAGATTTTTTAAAAGCACTTGTATGGTGAGAAGGAATACTCAACAGCTCACCATGTCTGGTCATATAGTTGTGAAAATAAGTCCGTTTATTAAAAAGACTTAGATTATTTTTTGTAAAAATTAGGCATCTTAAGATGTAAATTGAGGGAGTTGTGAGAATTTGCTTATCCTTAAACACATTCCTACAACTCTCATTCACCTTCAAGTTGAAAATAAGTCTAATAATTCTTTTTTGACATATGAAAACTCTCCCATTCACTAGGTCTACCCCAAGCGAGAATGTTGAACGCTATGTGACTGTATACCATGGAATAATAAACATTAACTAAGCCCGCCTGATCAAGAGTATGCTTTAACTTTAACTTTAAACGAACTACCAAACAGCTGAATGCTTTTACAGTTTCTTAGGGTCAGGTAAAATTAAACTCAAAAACCTTTCTGTTTCACTGCGCGAAACAGAACTAGGCTGGATAGTTGTGAGTTCTATTTCTAATCAGTTAAATTCAAAAACTCCTCTTAAGACTTCATGCAGTTTCATTAAATACGAAACGTTACCGTTACTCTGGGAAAAAGACGGTGAACATGGTTCAAAAAAATTACTTTCAAATGAGGAACAAGAGTGTGAAAATCATTTCATTAATAATACCAAGCGATACAATAGCTTAACAAAAATTACAGAGAATTAAAATTTTTATACATATATTCAAAATATACAATATATACTATAGTTATGACATATACATACAATTTATATTTACATAAAATTTTAATTCATATATACAGGGTGGGCCACCAGTAACGCCTCGGTCGCTAGTGACCAAACGGCAAATGTTACAGAAACCTGTTTAGGTGGGTATGTGTAGGTTGATTACGGCTACATTTTAAAAATATTTTGAGATATACAGGGTGTCCAGGAAAAGCGTACCATATCAAAGTTATGTTTTTTTAAATGGAACACCCTGTATTTTACTGCATTTTTGAAAGCACCGTAAAAAAATAGGTGAACTTTATTAAAGGTTCTGCATACCTAGGACTTACAGTTTGTGAGATATTTCAATTTTAGTGAAAATGCAGGCATAGCGTAGAAATTTAATATTAGCAATAAAAAAATAATTTTAAGGAAGCAGCTTTGGAGGGTCTATTTTAGATCCTTGAAGTTATAAATTGTTATATTTGTCGTCACTTAGTATTATACAGGGTGTTCAAAAAACTGCTGAATACTTCTCTCAACTTTAAACAGCAATAACTTGGTTATTTTAAATGGAACACCCAGTATATTTTTACTTTGGGAGTTGGGAAATTTAAAACTCTTTCAAACTGTGTATAGGTTCCCTATACCTATCTCTAACGGTATTGGAGATATTTGTGCCGTTTCGTTTTTTATCGATTTTTTTTGTAAGATGTATCCACGTGTCTTTATCGAGGTCTTTACTGAATTGGTTTGAGTTCTTCTTGATGACGTCTCTTTAAATATAAGGAGAAAAATGTGAATGCAATTAGATGGCGCACCTGCACATTTTTCATATTCAGTGAGGAATTATATAAATCGATAAATAAGTAATAAATGAGTAGGTAAGAATGGTCCATGTCAGTGGCTACCACAGGTGTCCAAACCTCTCGTAATAGACTTCTTTGTTTCGGGCTGTATAAATATATATCTTGTACACAGTGTTCCACCTACTACTTGCGATGATATGAAGAAAAGGATTAGATATATCACCCCAAATAACTATTCTAAGGAATGTGAGAATATCATTTGAAGATAGAATAAGATGCTGTATTCAAGAGAAAGGTTATCAATTCGAACATCTATTAAAATTTTTCTTTGTTTCTTCTAAAAGTAAAATTTTCTTTAATAAATATTTTTCTTGTTCATAAATAATTCAGTTACTTACTACAAACATATTTATACAAAATTAATAACTTTTTATAATCATTCTGCTTATAAAATAATATTTTTTATTAGAAAACTTTTTTGAATATTTTCATGATAATGATAAAAGGAACTTTTACTTTTAGAAAAAACAAAGAAAAATTTTAATTGATGACGAATTGATAACCATTCTCTTGAATACATCATCTTATTCTATCTTCAAATGATATTCTCACGCAAATGCATCTCTAATCCTTCCCACCAATATCATCGCAAGTAATAGGTGGAACATTGTATACAAGATTTTTTATATAGCTCGCAACAAAGAAGTCCATTACGGTGAGGTCTGGACACCTACGTGGCCACTGACATGCACCATTCCTACTTATCCATTTATTACTAAATTTTCAATTTAAATAATTTCTCACTGAATATGAAAAAATTTGCAGGCGCGCCATCTAATTGCATCCTCATTTTTCTCAATATATTTAAAGCGACGTCATCAAGAACCCAAACCAATTCAGTAATGACCTCGATAAAGACACGTGGATACATCTTACAAAAAAAATCTATAAAAAACGAAACGGCACAAATATCTCCAATACCGTTAGAGATAGGTATAGGGAACCTATACACAGTTTGAAAGAGTTTTAAATTTCACAACTCCCTAAGTAAAAATATACTGGGTGTTCCATTTAAAATAACCAAGTTATTGCTGTTTAAAGTTGAGAGAAGTATTCAGCAGTTTTTTGAACACCCTGTATAATACTAAGCGACGACAAATATAACAATTTATAACTTCAAGGATCTAAAATAGACCCTCCAAAGCTGCTTCCTTAAAATTATTTTTTTATTGCTAATATTAAATTTCTACGCTATGCCTGCATTTTCACTAAAATTGAAATATCTCACAAACTGTAAGTCCTAGGTATGCAGAACCTTTAATAAAGTTCACCTATTTTTTTACGGTGCTTTCAAAAATGCAGTAAAATACAGGGTGTTCCATTTAAAAAAACATAACTTTGATATGGTACGCTTTTCCTGGACACCCTGTATATTTCAAAATATTTTTAAAATGTAGCCGTAATCAACCTACACATACCCACCTAAACAGGTTTCTGTAACATTTGCCGTTTGGTCACTAGCGACCGAGGCGTTACTGGTGGCCCACCCTGTACATTAAATTTCTTACAGGGTTTTATTGATATTAAGTTCTATACAACTATATAGGATTGTTTTGAGTTACCAAGTGATGAATGGTTATCCTGTTCGTTTGGAGAAGATGCATTTTAAGTAAGTATTTGTACTTTTTTATGTTACTATTTTCTTCTAATTTTTCAGGAACCGAGTTATAAATTTTTGGAGCCAGATATTGATAACTGTGTTGTCCTTATATACTATTTTTAATTGTTTTATAGTTAAGTAATCTTTTATTTGCCTTATTTTACATAGTACATACCTTAATTTCTTTTTAAGGACCTCAACATGAACATTCCACCTAGATGTCTGTCCAGGATCACTCCTAAGTAGGTGACATTTTCTTCTGATTGTATACTAAGCTGTCACTATTGATGGTTGATAAAACAACAAGTTCAAAGTAAAAAGAAAAAGTGGAAAGTTTACTTAATACAGAAAACTGAAGAAAGCCTGGAAGAATATAAAAGGCAAAGAAATATTGTTAAAAGCACTGTGGCTGCAGCTAAAGAGAAATCATTGTCGGAATTCGGAACAAAAATGGAAGAAAATTATAAAAGCAATCAAAAATTATTTTATAAAGTAATAGAAACTATGAGAAAGGGGAAAAAGATAGAAACTGCTGCAGTAAAAAACGCTCTAGGGCACATTTTAACAGGAGTGAAAATAATGCAAAGATGGAAAGAATATTTTCAAGAACTACTAGTAGGAGAAGAGATTAATGATAGACAAGAAGAAACAAACAGTAACGAAATAAATGCGAGAGAAAACGAAGTAATAACCAGGGAAGAAATGACTCAAGCTTTAACCCATTAACAGCCATAGGTGCGTAAACGCACCCTTTTATTTTAATTTTTTTTGATAATTTTTAAAAATCTTGAGCGACCTCTAAAAAATTTTTTCTTTGACCTAATTTTTTGTGGGGGCTCTTAAAACATGATAAACTAATATATTTTCACAGGAGACACGAAAAAAAATAATCGTTTTTTTTTGACCCACCCTAAATTGTATAGGCATAACATATTATATTATATATTATTATTGTATCTATCAGGGAAATATTATTAAAATTTTAAGTTATTATTAACAAGATGTGTAATGGAATTCCCCTAGCAGGTAAGACCGTCAAGAAATTGTTCTTATCTAATTCCAATATAATGATTCCCACTGCAAAAAATGACTGAGCAAGATACCGTTGGACTGGAATATAATTACTGGTAAATAATATAGGTACATATAATTTCATAAGGGTGCATAAGGGTGAAAAATTTGAAAAAGTCAATTGAAGAACCATACATTCAAGGTATGCACCAGGCTCGGTNTTAATAAAATAATTATAAAGCAAAATATCAAGTCTCTTGAGACATTAAGAACCAAACTATAAATAAATATATGTATATAACAAGAAACAACCATTACTATGACGTAATGTGTTTCATACCAATTCGGTCACCCTATGCGGCAACGGCCGGTAACGTATCCGCCAAAAATGGCTTCAACTTGACAATATTCAAGGTTATTACTTAACCTGATAATTGCTATTAGTGATGGGCAAAACGATTCATTTTGATGTTTCGAATCAAATGACTCATTTCAAAGTTGAGAGTCGAAACTGGGAGCCGACTCTTCCGACTCCCAACTCCCATGGCAGATATCGAATCGCTAAGTTCGTAATTCGCATAATCACGGTGGCTCCGTCTCGGAACGGACGGAAATAGCGGAATCTGGGCCGATTGACGAATCTTGTCGATCTTGAGCTTGACCGATAATTCGATTACACATTTGTTTACTGAAACAACTGACTAAAATAGAAATTAGTTCTTCTACTGCAGTCAAGGGTTACGTACTTAGTTTTTTCACTGAAATTTGTTGTCAAGGGCGTAGTACCTATTTGTATGTAATACAAAAATGCGAATGAATGCGATAATAAAGCATATATTCTCTTCAAACGTTTACAAATACAAACGCAAACCGTTTGCTACCCTTTTTTCCTGTAGATTGCGGCCATTGTTGCCCACACTCTTTACTCCCTATCAGTATCAAACGACTTGCAAATCACTAAATACAGTGATCACATGATTCACAGGCACAGCTACACGCCGATCCAAATCCCAAAACGAATCTGACTCACATCTGACTCTCGGCCCTGGTGGTTCAGCTGTACACTATAACGGATTCGACACTCCACACGGGAGTCGGCACAGGTCGATCACGATAACGCTACATATTGAATCATCGGAGTCGACTCTTACATATTTTGGGAGTCGACTCAGATGATCTAAGCCAAGAGTCGACTCTCTGATTCGAAACATACACTCACTAGCCAACACTAATTGCTATGCGTCTTGTATTTTATTATGAGAAAAAAATGTTTGGTTTTGATTTTCAATATCTATGCCAAAATAACGATCATGGACCTTACCTTCGTTATCGTATATATAACATATCCAATATTTTAATGACAGTTAGTACACAAATCAAATAATAACAGTGTTGCACTAAGGGTGAAAATACATGAGAGTAATCTAAATTTCAGGGAAACCAGACAAACCAAAAACGTCTACAGCATTATATGTGAGATTAAACAAATAACTAAAACTTTAGAACAGCATGTTAAAACTTCAACCAAGCTAGTAAGGTGAGTGTTCTTATTCTGTCAACATGAATAATAATAATATAAATCATCAACCGCAACATCACATTCAATTTACTTCTATTGTTTCTATTTCAGAGCTCTTTACTAAAATAGAGACCCATTAGACAGCTGTTTAGTGAGTTTACAAAAGGTTACAGGTGAGTTGTTTTATCATTTGGAAATTCGTAACCAATTATTATAATTAAACTAATATTAAATAAAATTATTAAAATACCACACTTTCCTTTTTAGCCAGACAATACATAAGTATATTAAAATTAAATTACAGTCGTCCCAGGAGATATGAATTGGAATTACGTACACCGACACGACTAATGGATCGTGGAAGTTGACATTCAGCCCAGGTAATATGCTGAACTTTTGTTGTTTTTGAATTCGTGCAATGACACAAGTGCCCTAGGTCTCGGAGCTTACCAGTCGATTTGACAAGGAACGGAACGTGCCCGCAGGTATGACTAACAGACGGGTGGACTTGCCCTTCTTATAAAACGCCACCAGATGACGGATGTCTTGGAGTTTACCAATTAAATGGTACTGAAATCGTGCTAGCCGTTATGATCCACCGAGAGCTTGACCTGCCGTTCAGCCCCGATGATTTCTTAAATATTTGTTAGTTAAGGTTAAGCTAGGGCCTAGAATAAAGCCAGTACCAATCAGTTTTAGATCCTATTTTAATTTTCAAAATTCAAACTAGCTTACCTCAGATGACATAAGGTCCTCACTCTCACACAAACATGGGCAAAATGCCTGTTTCAAAATGGCTACTTTTTTTTCTCTGGAGCGACCAAAAAAACTCCTAGTTAAATTTAATATTTTACTAAAATAACCTGAATGTCAAGGCCTACAAAAACAATGTTTACAAATTGGCTGCAATCATATGTCCTAGTCCTAACCTGATTATGTTCACCCTTTTATTTGAAAATTTGATCTTGATATATATTTCTAATAGGTTAGTAAACTATACAATATTTATATTATAATTAACCAAAAAAAATTTTTTAATGTAATGGGGAAGCAAAGCAAAGTACAAGGTGAACGAGCGAAACCCAAATATTTCGCCCTGAACCGTTACACACCCCCCTTTGCTGGATAAANAATTGGCTGCAATCATATGTCCTGGTCCTAACCTGATTATATTCACCCTTTTATTTGAAAATTTGATCCTGATATATATTTCTAATAGGTTAGTAAACTATACAATATTTATGTTACAATTAACCAAAAAAAATTTTTAATGTAATGGGGAAGCAAAGCAAAGTACAAGGTGAACGAGCGAAACCCAAATATTTCGCCCTGAACCGTTACACACCCCCCTTTGCTGGATAAAAAAAAATATATAAATATATATATACATATTCCTTTCCTTCTATCTATATATATTTTTTTTCATAACTGATAATGTCCGAAATCTAGATCATTAACGACTGGTATACCATATTGTCTGAATCGGGAAACAAGGTCGTCACCTTGATTAAGAGGTCAAAATAGAGTTAATAAAAGAATCCCTTTCATACAACAACTTCCGCTCACATTCACGCAACTTACACTCTAGGATTCCTCCGCAAACAACTTCCGCTCACATTCACGCAACTTACACTCTAGGATTCCTCCGCAAAATCGTCAAACCGTTTTAAATCTTTTACGTGCCAGCGCCCTAAGTTTCTTCCATTTTCATCTTCTAGCTCGTATACCAATGGGCTTACGACTTTCCTTACAGAGAATGTTCTTGGGTGCTAACTTGGCCGCAAAATCGTGCGCTCCGCTAGACGGAACGTAATTTTTTTTCCAGACCCGATCTCCCTCAGCATATACATCAGCGGGTCTTTTTCTTAAGTTATAGGTATGTGTGTTTTTCTCATAAGCTTTCTTCAATCTGTCTTGAACCTCACGGAAAATTTGAGGTAAGTGAGTTATTTCCTCGGAATATTTTTTCGGATCGAAAGTACTAAGATCATAGTCGACTATTGTGTCCAAATTTCCGTAGAACCTCCCATCGATTGGTACATACCTTCCAAAATTTAAATAAGCCGGGGTAAAACCTGTCGCCTCGTGTACGGCTGTTCTGAGTGCATATCCAATCTTTGCTATGTGTAAATCCCAGTCTTTGTGATTGTTCCCTTCGATATATGATCGAACCGCAGAACCTATGACACGATTGACTCTCTCAACCTGATTAACTTGTGCATGGTATCTGGCGTTAAACCATATCCTAACTCCATATTCGTTACATAGAGCTTTAAACTCTACTCGTAAACTGCGTACCATTATCACACGTTATAACCTGAGGCGTTCCGTTAACATTAAAAACACTTCGTTCTCTATAAATTTTATTATACTTTTCGCGTTCGCCTTGCGCAAAGGATGTAACAATACAAATTTTGAAAAATAGTCTGAAACAGCCAGTAAATATACAAACCCACGAGTAGATTTAGGAAGAGGCCCCCAAATGTCCACTGAGACCGCTTGCCAAGGATACGATACTTTTTTCTGTTTGTCCATGAAACCAGGTCGCGACACATTAGTGGCCTTCTGCGCTGCACAAACGCGACAGTGCTTCACATAATTCTTTATGTATGTTCGCATTTTCGGCCAATAATATAACTCTTTAACCCTGCAAGAGGTTTTGTAGGTTCCTAAATGAGCAGATGTCGGATCGTCGTGACATTGTCCTAGTATTTCTTTACGATACCCCTTGGGCACTACCATCTTCCATTCTGGCTCGTTCAAACTTACTTCGTTATTCTTGGGGATATGTTTATACAAGAGTCCATCCTTGATCATCCAGTTGGGAAATTTTTCCGGAGAAGTTGCCTCGCCGTTCCTCATTCTTTGGTACCAACTGTCTTTGATACATTCCTCGGCATCTATCGAAAGTATCGCCACTTCTCTTTCTATAGGTGATCTTGACAAAGCGTCGGGCACAACATTCAACGCACCTTTACGGTGTTCGATAATCATATCGTGTTGCTGCAGTTTTACTGCCCAACGTGCCAATCTATCTGAAGGATCCTTGAGGCGGTTCAACCAGAGTAAGCTGTAATGATCTGTGATGACCTTAAATGTTGTTCCTTCAACATAACATCTAAATTTTTCAACGCCGAACAATAAAGCTATTAGTTCTTTTTCAGTCACGGTATATTTCTTTTCAGCCTTAGTAAGAGTTCGACTCGCAAAAGCAATTATTACTTCCTGACCTTGATCATTTAATTGAGTCAAAACGCAGCCGACGCCTAGATCCGAAGCGTCACACTGTATGGTGAATTGCTTCATAAAATCGGGAGCAACAAGAATAGGTGCAGATATTAAAGCTTCCTTGATTTTTCGGAAGGATTCTTCGGCTTCCTCGTTCCAATTTATCTTCTGTGACTTCCTTTTTCCTTTAATGAGAGCGGTCATGGGAGCAGTAAAGTTGGAATAATGAGGTATGAAACGTCGGTACCACCCTACTAAACCAATGAATCTTTTCAATTCAGTCACTGTTTCTGGCCGACGATAATTTAACATGGCTGAGATCTTATCAGGGTCAGTTCGAAGACCTTCTCCATCCAGAAGAAATCCCAAATATCGCAAAGACGGCATGCAAAATTTACATTTTTACGAAATATACGAAGACATATGGTTCTAACATATAACCAAATATGGCATCCATCAGCCTCTGCTGGGTTTGCGACGCATTAGTAAGTCCAAACGGCATTACCGTAAACTCAAAAAGTCCCCTTGACGGAATCACGAATGCGGTCTTTTCGCATGAATTTTCCTCTAATGGCACCTGCCAATAGGCACATTTTAAATCTATACTTGACAAAAACCGAGCACCAGTTAGTTTGCTTAAAATGGAGTCCACACGTGGAAGCGGATAAGCATCCTTCTTCGTCAAACTATTTAACTTCCTTCCATCAAAACAAAAGCGCATGTCACCATTAGATTTCTTGACTAACAGCACGGGAGAAGCCCATGGACTATTAGACGGTCGAACGACCTCTAGCTTCAACATCATGTCAAGTTCTTTATGTAGGCGTTCCAGCATATATGGAGACATGTTGTGATGACGTTGTTTGACAGGTACAGCATCCCCAGTATCGATTTTATGTACGAGTGCATTAGTTCGTCCCAGTTTTGTACCATCCATCCAAGAAAGTTTGCTAAATTCTTCTATTCTTAAATCCAAAGCTTCTCTTTGATCCTGTGTCAAATCGGCATCGGAATACACAGCTTTAACCTTGTCCGCATCAACTATAGAACTGTCTTCCAGCAAGCAAAATAATGGTTCATTTGTTCTCCTACAAAATACTCATTCCGACCGCTATCTAAAACTATATTAAATAATTTAAAAAAATCACTACCCAATATTAATCCTTGTGATAATGAAGGCACCATTAACACATTAATTATCTTAAAACAATTTCCAATACTAACAGGTAGGTTAACAAATCCCGTCACTGAATGAGACCTACCATCTGCTGTACGAATATTTGCTCCGTTATAAGAAAAAATTTCCAAGTTAAATTTTTCCAGAAGATGTAAACCTTTATTACCAAATACAGAATTATTAGCCCCAGTGTCCAGAAGAGCTATCACCTTCTTGCCTAAAATATCCACACTTATGTAAGGCCTATTGTCATGCTTACGTTCCACCAGTAACATGTTAGATTCCATGAATTTACTACAATCATCCTTATCACACTTTAGTTTTGAAGTGTCTTCATTTTCCTGCCCTAATGAATTCGTATAAAATTCCTTAACAAAGTTGAGCCAAGTTGTCCATTCAAGTTTGGAAGTTCTCCTAAAGATCGAGTAACTCCTCTCTATTTTTGAAGTTTTACGTTTTTGACAAATATCCCATGCAGCACAACTTTTAACTTTGCCGTTAGAAGACTGATTACTCCAGTTGCGGACCTTGAAATTTAACATAGAGGAACGCTGGCCCGGGACACGTCCTCTATTTAAGAGTTTTTTATACAATTTGGGCAGTTAGGTTTTATAACGCCTTTTTTCCCACACCCAAAACAATGTGGACCTCTCTTCCTCGTTTTTTCTTGCCGATGTGTTGTTTGACAGTCTCGTTTAATGTGACCAACTTGTCCACATTTGTAGCAGCGTAATGTATTGGTAACTCGTGAATTTATTGAAGAATTCCCTGACCTGGAACTACAGGTAGGTAAATGTGATAAATCGGGTTCTAAGGAAGAAACATTTTTACGTGTAAAAGAACGTTGATTACTCGGCTTAATAGTTCCGGCGTCCTCCAACGCTCGACAAATTTCAAGTAACTGATCCAATGACTGGACGTCCTTCAGTGCCAAATGAATATGGTATTCCTCCAATAAATTCTTTCTTATGGTCTTAATTTTTTCATCTCTAGTTGCTTTTATTGTTAAACGATCAAAAAGATTTTCCATGGCCGCAACAAAAATAATAACCCTTTCATCTCTTCTTTGTTTCCTATTACGAATGCATTCCCACAGATCATCATCTGCATCCTTGGGTAAAAAATCTCTTCTCAAGGCAGCTACTATTTCATTCCACGAATTTACATTTTTCCTTATTAAGCGAAACCACACTTTAGCTGGGCCTTCGAATAATTCTATCGCGGACCTAAAGAGTTCCTCTTCCGTAACATTCCTGGCAAAACTTAATTCTTCTACCTGCTCCAAGAAAGAATTAACGGAAGTCTTGGTTTCCATACCCTTAAAAGCGAGATTCCATTTGTGGACTGGAAAAGATTTACTTGTAGCCGGAACATTTGATGTGGATGTACTAGGTCGAGAAGTGTCTCCCTGCGCATGTCGTTGCCTAATTTCTTCAAGTTCTGCCTCAAGAGTGGATACCATTATTAAATTGTCTCCCCGGTAAGCACATATTTCTTCACTAATATTCTCTGGAAGGCGTCTAATTCTTCCTACCAGATGCACTAGTCTGCTCCGTATTCTCTCATATACGTTCTTGTTTGTTCCGTCGAAGTCATCCACTAAAGTCGTTACCGATTTGAGACTTTCCTCTATCTCTTTTTTCTCAATGTTCAATGAAAAATTCGGCATCTCATAACTATGAACTCCCGGCCGAGCCATATCCTTTTGTAACTCTCCGCAAA